CAATAACTCTTATATTTGGTCTTTTGATGCTGTCCTATAATTCTTGGATGTTCTGTTCATGATTTCTAACTATCTTCATTGTGTGATCAACTTTATTTTCCAGATTATATACTTTATCTTCATTATCTGACATTCTTTCTTCCAAGTGAGCTAGTCTATTGGTTATGCTTTCTATTGAGTTTTTTATTTGATTTATTGTATCCTTCATTTCAAAGATTTGACTGTTTTTTTTCAGAGTATCTCTCTCTTGAAGTAATCTTTTGCTACCTGTATTTGCTCTCTTATCTCATTGTTGGAGTGATCAATCTTTGCTTGTATTTGCTCATTTAGGTCTTCTTTAATTCACTGATCATTTTAATTATGAACTTTCTGAACTGCTTCTCTGACATCTCATCAACTTCGCTGTCCATGGGTTCTGTTATCAGAGTGTCCTGGTTTGTTTGGGGCACTTTCCTTCCTTGTTTTTTCATGGTGTCTATGTCTTCCTTTCTTGCAGAGTGGATCTGAGATATTAGTTTCTTCCCTGTATTCTTGTAGTACCTGTGCATATTGTCTGTACCTCACCTGTTGGGCTTACAGATCTTGCTGGTGTCCCTCAATGAATGCTACTGCATCCTGGATCTGGATCCTGCTTAAGTTGGAGTGGGTGGATCTGGGCTGCTTGCCTTGATCTCCTGCAGTAGTCTGCTGGTTGGAAGGGGAAGTCCTGCACCAAAGGATAGGCTCTGGTGGTGTCTGTCCCACCTGGGGAGGGGTGAACTGGGCCTACTGAGAGCCCGATTCCCATATAGGCTAGTGTGGGCAGTCTGGGCTGGATCTTGGCTCCCCCTGTAGTCCACTGGTCAGAAGGGGTGGTTCTGCACCAGAGGCTACACTCTATCGAGTATCTGCCCCTCCAGGGAAAGGGTGGACCAGGCCTGCTGTGTTTCTGGGCCCTGCAGAGGCCGGTGTGAGTGGATCTGTCTCCCATATTTTGAACATGGCAATACCATGTTTAAAAATTGATAAAAACAATTAGGATTACAGGAAAATCTCAATACTAAATAAGTATATAAAGCATGCTCTCCTAACACAACATGGAATAATTGCTTACTTTTTTGTTTCCAATATGTTATGTCTTAATATTTTATATTCATGAAGTCTAGGTACGATGAGCCTGTTAGATGATCTGTTATGTAACCTCATTAGAGTATTGCCTAACTCAACTAATCTTACACTAAAAGATCAGAATCCTTGTCATCATACTTATGTTTTCTACTTGTTTTTTTTTTTTTAGGTCTTTCAATCATTGATTTCCAATTTGCCTGTTACTCAGACTGTAAAATTGTGAGATTCATAAGTTTTAATAAGCCCTTCATGACCTATTATTTAGGCTTTTAATTTTTCTTAATAACTTTCACTTCAGATGTATTAGGAATTCTCTTTCCCATGTGTGTCTTTCAAACATGTTTGGAGTAGGTGTCTTTAAACACCAAAACCACAAACATATTTTAGTTTGTAACATGGGCATTGAACTGATTCACAAAGTCCTTCCCTAGAAAGCTTTTCTTGTATCACTCTATTAATTTTTACTAGATTTAGAGAAAATAGATATTCTGCTATAAAAATTGATTATTTTTGTTTCTTAAACTTATTTGTATGAAAAAAACAGGAGTAAAAAGTAGTGTATCTCTCTCCATGTAATTGCATGTGCCTCTGTATACACAGTGTATATATATTTATTTTTATATTCCACATGTGGATAATACTTGTCTCTTTCTGTGCATCATCTGTTTCCTGTGACTATCAGATAATGTAAATTATTGACCTCAGCACTTCTATTGGACAAATAAATGACACAAATTATTCATATTATTCTGATTATTTATATAAAGTGTAAGAAAAATTAACTAATGAATTCAGACCTGTCACTCAATTTCCTTTTTTTTTTTTTTTGGTATCCAATTTCATGTATATGAATTTGTATTTGAATGGTTTAAAAATATTTAAATAGTTAGATTTTGAATATAGTATATGTTGTTGTATACCAAATGCCCATGACATATAAGTCCTACAAATTTAATTTATTTTATATTTAATAGTATAATAGCATATACCAAAATATAAACTTTTGTATAGTTAGAATGCATGGCTTTTACTGTTTGGGGTTGTTACTTTTATTAGGTTAAGCTACTGATATTTTAAAAATTATATTCTGAGACATAAAAATAGCTATTAATTGGATTGGTATGTCTGGTGGGTTATATTTAAATCTTACAGTGTGATGTTAATTAGTATAAAATTCTACAATAGGACTTAGCTGTGGACCTTTACGATAGAACTCCCCTAGATGGATAATTTACTGTGTGACAACAAATGTTGTCAGATGGTGCTTCAAGTCTTGGTGGAAATCAGGTAAGAATGTAGAAGCCAAACCCCTTCTTAGTTACATGGAAAGCAGCTGAACTAGTTTCCTCCCAGATTGTGCATTTGTAGTCATCTTCAAGCAGGGGAGATATTGTAAACTACTGTTCTTAATGTATTATGAATAGAGTACTTAATTTTGGTTTAGAATTTTTATTATTGCTTCAAAAGATCATTGTATATCAAATTCTATTTCTATATTCATTGGTATTGGGTTAAGTAAAGTTTATAACTCAAGGTTTGTCTACTGAGACAAATTAAAGGGTAGAAAAGTCCCCAAATCACTTTGGATTCAGAAGTGTGATATCCTAAAAGGAACTTCAGTAGTCATGCAGAAAGCTCATTTCCTATTGCTGTTCTCAGGGGCTACTTTCATAGTTTCTTCCTCCCAATGACTGCAGTCCTGGAGATTATTGTAAATATGTGCTGTCGAACTCTCAGGCCATATTTAACACTATTTAATGAATTCCATGTCTTTTTGCTTATGAGTACTTAATGTTTGTAAATATTTATAGATATTTTTAATTTAAAAATATTAACACGTTTCTCATGATGAAAATCAGTGTCAGACATTCATTTTAAGCCATCAATTTAAAGAGGAAGACTTCTACTTACTGGGCAAGAAAAATTATTTGAAGAAGTATTTATCATATAATATGAATTATATATAAATCATTATTATATAAAATATAACAAAATTTCTCACTAAATTCCTGTTTCTGCTTTCCTCAATAGCTAAAGAAATGACTTTAATGAAAATAAAGTGAAAATTTCAGAAATATATTTATAGTATAATTTAGATATTCTATCTCAATGAAGGCTATTTTATGACAAGAGTTTCTAACAAAATAGGAAGCCAAATCTTTTCTTTCTATATTAGAGATAAGTAAGGTTTTTTTTTTTTGTGTGTGTGTGTAATAGTGCCTAGAATATAGCAAGTGCTATGTAAACATTGGGTATCATTTTTATTGTGTATCATGTAACTCATGAAAGTGTTATATGTCTTATTTGAGTTTCCTGCAATAACAGAATTAAAAATTAGAATTAAGGGCTAGGTTTGTGGCTCAGCGGTAGAGTGCTTACCTAGCATGTTCGAGGCCCTGGGTTGATCCTCAGCACTACATAAAAATAAATAAATAAAGGAGTCCAACTATAACTAAAAAATAAAATATTTTTAAAAAATCATAATTAAGTGCTTTTTTACTCAGAATTTGAAAAGTCATTATATTATAACTTGAGAACACCACATTCTAAGCTTGGAAAGTTATTCTGTCACCTCATTCTTCATTTCTTAGTGAAGAAAACAGATATCTTTTGTATATACCTCATTGCTGTGAAATTCTGTAAAATTTTATGTTAATAAATTGATGGAGTATAAACACAAAGGCAATTTTAAATAACTACAAATAACTGCTGTTTTTGTAGACACACTGTGTTCTGCCCCCATCCCCCTTTTTTTATACCACAGATTGAACCCAAGGGTTCCACATTCCCAGCTCTTTTCATTTTTAATATTGAAACAGAGATTACAGGCTTATGCTACTGCACCCAACTGAGCTCTGCTTTTTTAAAAAATGTGCACTGTAGTTTTCGTTAATGAATATTTTCTCATTTCCTTCTCATTTTGAGGTGAGTCCTGACTAAAACAAAATAACCTCTGAGCATAAGTATACAAATGATATTTAATATCAAATTTTTCAAATCTGTAAGTCTACTCTTATGTGTATTAATAGATCTATTAAATAGATTATTTAAACTATATGTGCTTTCCTATAAATATTATCATAAAATATATTTTAAGAAAATTAGATGGGATTTGACTACCTTGTGAAATAGATATTTGAGCTTTTCATAGATCATACATATTTGGAATTGATAATTTTTCCCTTTACATGAAAAGTGAATAACTAACAGAGCTGCATCTATGTTCTGAGTTTATGTTATCCTAAAGAGCCAAATATGAAAAAGGGTTAATAATAAGCTTTCATTAACTTTTTACTTGTAACTGAACTTATTTTCTAATATAATTCACTTCTAATTAATTACCTTAATAAAAAATTGGCCTCAAAATATCATATAAATGAGGAAATTAATTATTTATTACTCACATTTTTTAAACTTCAGAATTATAGGAATTTGTAATAATTTTGTTGTTTTTTTTAATAACCATCTATAATTATACTAAAATATTGAAGAATTATAAACTAATTAAAACACTGGTCATTATTATCCAAACTTTGTTTCTTTATTAAGAATAATCTATAGATTTTCTGCTTTTTTGAGAATTATAAATAACTCAATGATAAGTTCTCATTTTCTAGTCACCTGAATAATCAAAAATGGTGTGAGGTTTTAATTTATTTGACAAATTATTTTCCTTTTCTACTTTGCAACAAGTAAAACATATATACCTCCAAAGAGGGTAGGAAGGAAAGTGTAATAGAGATCATACTAAAGTCATGATGAAGACAAAATTTAGGGTAAATATTGGGAAGAAAATTAAATAGAAATTTAATAAACTTGAAACCATTAAAGAATTCTCTACAAATTATTTTTTGTTAGAAAAATGCAAGTAGTATTTTGTTTTTATTTTGCAGGAAAAGTTACCATAGTCTTGACCAGTTGTCAGCAGAAGTTAGCCTTTCTCAGACTTCATTGGATCCAGGTCAGTCACAAGAAGGAGAAGGAAAACAAGACCCATTGAATTTCATCAGTGAAGGTAAGAAAAAAAATTGAGTCAAAAGTTATCTTTTTAATACTATTTATGTTTTCGTTACAAGACAAGGTCAGAGAATACTGGCATTTCTGTGAAGCATGCTAGAAATCAAGTTGCCTTATGATTAAAAATGGTCTGCCTTAGTTTCTTTCTCAGGTGCCTTACCTTCTCAGAGGCTCATCTATGTTACTGAATTATTAGTAATAAAAAAGAAAACAGAAATTTTAGGCAAAAAGATAAAACTACTTACAAGGGGAAAAGAATGAGATGGGTAGTAACCTCCTCTAATTTTGCAGTGATAATAATTAGAAAAAATAAAGAATTTTCTAAATAACACAATTGTTTTAAAAAAGGGGAAGAAAACATGTCACATGTAATAATTTAAAAAACAGCAAATAAAACAGAAGCAAAATGGTACATTATATAGGAAAGAACACCAAAAATGCATATAAAATATCAAAGAAAATATCATGTAAACAAAGGTAGTAAATGTAACAACACATACATAAAAAATTATAATTAAGTTATTCAGAAGGTCAACATGTAAAGAGATAGAGGGGGACAATTAAAACACAAAGAAATCAGGGTGTAGACCTGATATCAGACAAGTAGAATTTAAGTCAAAATGCATTAAACATTACAAAATAGTCATGTTTTAATGCTGAATGCCATAATAAAGATATAAAAGGATTATGCACCTAACAATGGCATCCACTTTTATACAAGGTAAAAGGAGAAATATGAACTAGTGACAATAAGAGATTTAATATTCTCTTCTCAGTATAAGAAAATTAAATGGACAAAAACCTGGTAAGAATATATAAAAGACCTATAGCAGAATGTTATAGTTTAGACTGTAAATGTCCTTCAAAGGCCTATCTGTCAAAGACCAAGTCTTCAACTTGGTGCTGTGGGAATGTGGAAACTTTATAAGAGGTAGGTCCTAGTGGGAGGTCTTTTGATCATTGGAGAGCGTGCTCTTGAAAGAAAGTGATACCCCAGCTTCTCACCATGAGGTGAGCAGCTTTGTTCCCTGCAATGGTGTGCTGCCTCTCCAAGTCCAAAGCAATAGGGCCAATCATTAATTAACTGGAACCTCTGGAACTGTGAGCCAAAATAAATCTTTTCTTTTTTTAAACTTTTTTTTTAGTTGGACACAATACCTTTATTTCATTCATTTATCTCTCTATGTATCTATCTATCTATTTATTTATTCAATTTATTATGTGGTGCTGAAGATCAGACCCAGCGCCTCACACATGCAAGGCAAGTGCTCTACCACTAAGCCACAACCCCAGCCCCATAAATCTTTTCTTTTTAAAAGTTTATTATCTTAGGTATTTGTTATAGTAACGGAAAGCTGACTGCCACAGATATAAAAGACCTAAATAACATAATCAGTAAGGTAGATCTTATAATATTATGGAACTTTACACCCTGATTGTATAGATAACATTATATAGATATGTTATTATTATATAGATAATTATATAGATACCTTCTTAAGTACAAATAGAATAGTAACAAAATGATCATATATTAGATCATAAAGAAAATAATAAATTCAAAACATAAAATATTGCAAATAGTATTCTCTGGTCACACTGTAAGAGAACCCTACAAGTTTTCCATCATGATAATTCTTTTGTTCAAAAGGGCCTTTCACTTGGAAATAAATAAACCTATTAAATGACCCTTGGATAACAGAAATTCAAGCTGACATCATGAATATCTAAAAAATAATGACAATAGATTTTATGGAGTTGATTTCAAGCAATAACCAGAGAAAATTTTATCTTTTATATACTTTTGTTAAAAAAAAACAAAATAAGATAAATAAATTCTATTTTTTGGCTCACAAAGCTGGAAAAATAACAACAAAGTAACCAAAAGCACAAGAAAAGAAATAATAAAGATAAGATCACAAACAAATGAGATAAAGAATAAAAAATAGAGACTACTTTGCAGATCTCTATGCAAATTCATTTGAAAACCTAAATGAAATGGATAATTTCCTCTGTAAGTATACTTCACAGAATTATTTGCATTAGAGATAGAAAGCTCCAGAATGTTTGGAATGTGAAGTGATCAATATTAGAAAATCCTCTAATGTCACAAATACTATATTAAGTATAGTATTTGTGACATTAGATCTGAAATAGCAAAGGCAATCTCCATAGATGCAATAAAGGGCCTTGGATAGAATCCAACACTTGTGTGACAAATAAGAATATTCAAGAAAAATACCTTATTTACATGAATGTATGCGTATGTGTGTATGTATGTGTAGAACTTTTTCTTAAAAGTAGTGTCTTACTTAATGGGTAAATACTTAGCTGAGGGACAAAGTAAGGCTCTACATTGTTTCTACCATAATTTCACATTATACTAATAGTATTAGGCAGTGCATTTAGAGAAGAAACCTTAAGTAAAGACATGAGAATTATGTTTTGGAGATGATTTTATGAACTTAAAAAAACAGAGAAATAATACAACTAAATGCAGCAATAAAAGAAATCCTGAAATGTAGCTCGATACAGAATTATCATGCAGAAATCTGTAGTCCTGACTTACCCAAACAGTGATCAGTGGGGTACTCTAATATTAGATCAGGGAAAACAATTTAAATAGCAACAAAGATAAAGTACATTTAATCAGTATGAAAATATGAATGCCAAGATTATTAAGCTACCTCGGCATTCCTTCCTTTTCTATACTTTTACCTAAGTGCTTAACACATTTTAAGGAATTTTTCTAGCTACTGCTATTCTAAAATTTAAATTCTTGGGCTGGGGTCATAGGACAGTGGTTGAATGCTCACCTCACATGTGTGAGCCACTGGGTTCGATCCTCAGCACCACATAGAAAAATAAATAAATAAAACAAAGATATTGAAAAAATAAAATAAAATTTGACTTCTTATTTTGAAATAATATTAGATTCATAAGTAATTATAGGAAATAATACAAAGAAGGGAACTGGATGTGGGTGTGCCTTTCACCCAGTTTACCATCTTATTCACTTCTTACAAAGCTATAGTACAGCATCATAGCCACAATATTGAAATTAATACAACTCACTTATTTTATTCAAATATACATGTATTCCTATATTGTGTAGTTCTATGCTGTCATTGCACGCTTAGGTTTGTGTTCACTACTGCAGTCAAGATACAGAAAAGTTTTATCAACACAAAGATCCCTTGTGCTGCCCTTTTGTAAGCACACCCACCTCCTTCCCAGACTCCATCTCTGTCCCATCCCTAATCTATGGCTAGCACTAATCTGTTCTCTACGACTGAAATTTAGTCAGTTCAATAAAGTTATATAAATCATATAGTATATATAAGACTGTACATATAGTTTAGACATGTAGTACTTCGGCTATTGGGATTGACCTTTTTCACTCAGCATATTTCCCTTGAGATCTGTCCAAGTTGTGTGTATCCATAGTTCATCTTTTATATTGCCAAAATATTCCATTTCATGAATACACTATAATTTTGTTTAAAACAACACCCATTAAAAGACATTTGGGTTATTTGGGGTTATAAATTTACTATGAAGATTATTGAGTTTTGGTATATACAGAAGTCTTCATTTCTGTGTCATAAATACCCAGGAGTACAGTGCTGAGATGTATGAAGAAACAACCAAATTATTTTGATTGTACCATTTTGCATTCCCACCAACAATTGATGAGTGATCCAGTTTCTTCATATTCTTGCCAATATTTAGGGTTTGATTTAAGCTATTCTGTAATAGCTCTGTATTATTTCTTACATTTTTTAAATTATAGCTATTCTGGTTCATGTGGAGTGTTACCTCATTATGGTTTTAATTTGCATTTCCCTGAACATCTTTTCACCTGCTTATTTGCCATGTATGTCCTCTTCATTGAAACACCTTCTCATGTTTTTTACATTTTCTCTAATTAGATCACTTTTAACTGTTGAGTTTTGAGAGTTCAGTAGATCATTCAAAAATCAATGCTTGTACTTGAAAAAAACATGAAGGTAAAACAATAAATATTTTTCATATTTTCTAAAATTAGAGTAATCTTTTATAAAAATTAACTCCTTTATTGATTTTATTTTTTAAAATACACAACAGCAGAATGCATTACAATTCTTATTACACATATAGAGCATAGTTTTTCATATCTTTGTATATAAAGTATGTTCACACCAATTCATGTCTTTATACATGAACTTTTTTTGCATTACAATTCTTATTACACATATATACCACAGTTTTTCATATCTTTGTATATAAAGTAGGTTGACACCCAATTCGTGTCTTCATACATGTATTTTGGATAACGATGTCCATCACATTCCACCATCCTTGCTAATCCCCTCTTAAGGCAAAAATATTTATTGGAAATTCAACATTTCTTTTACTGTTCTTTTTTTCTTACATTGATTTCCAGTCAAAATTAATTGAAAATTTTTATTAGAAGAAAATCATGACATCATACCAATTTTATAATATTTTTTCCATTTTATTCTGAATATAAACTATGTGATAATATCTTTAATATTTGTGTGCTTTACTGCATTGATTAAATTCTTTTAGAAATATTTTTGTATTTATTTAAAGAGATCCTTTAGACTTTCTTTAACCACTTTTATTTAAAAATAATTCACTTAATAAGGGGGCTGGGGCTATGGCTCAATGATAGAGTGCTCGCGTGGCATGTGTAAGTCATTGGGTTCGGTCCTCAGCACCACATAAAAATAAAACAAAGGTATTGTGGCCACCTACAACTAAAAAATATATATTTTTTTAAAAATAATTCACACAATATAAAATTTACCCCTTCTATTTATTTATTTACTTACCTATTTTCAGTACTGGGGATTGAACTCTGAGACACTCTACCACTAGGCTCCTTTTACTTTTTATTTTGAGACAGGGTTGCCGAGTGTCTTGCTAAGTTGCTGAGGCTGGCCTTGAAGTTGCCATCCTCCTGCTTCAGCCTCCTCAATCACTAGGATTAAATG